GTATCTATATCTGTATCTGTATCTGTAACTGTATCGGTATCTGTATCTGTGTCTGTATCTGTAAAATTGGAGCTCAGGGTCGTCGGGGCGTTAGATTTGGCAAGTACGGTATCCTCGAGTGCGGCTGCCCGCGGCGCCTACGGCAGCTGCAAAAAAGGGCGAGCTCGGGGCGTGCAGTGCGTACCCCCCGCTTTGGTGTGATGTGCGCCTGAAGACCATGGGCTCTAGCTCGACCCCCCCCCCCAACCTCGCATGGAGAGCTCGCTCTGCCCGACAGGTGAGGGCGGAGCCGCGGAGCCGCACGGGGTCTTGTGGCGGCTGATGCAGCGCGACTACAGCGGCCCTCACGCCCTGGACTGGGAAGCGGCGCTGGGGGAACGTGGGACTGCGGCGGACTGGCGCAGAGCCGCTCGTACGAACGTGCGGGCCAGCATCAGCCGGGGCACGCTCGCCAGCTCCGAATGCAAATGGAGGGAGTCTGAAAACACGTCTGCAGAGGAGTGCGGCGGCGACTGCAGCATAAGCAGCGCGGCCAAGGGGGCGGTGTTTTCGGACCGGGTCGCCGCCAGCAGCGCGGCGCGGCTGGAGAAGCAGGCCAGCAAGGCCGCAGGGCGCACCAACACCGCGCGTGGTGCGATCGACACCGCAGCCAAGGCGCTGAACCTCCTGGCGACGTGAGCGGGGCCGGCGTTGAGCGGGGTGGCTCGCGTCTTGCTGTGCAGCCATGCAGCTTGAATTTGGCTCGAGTCGCCCACGTGGTTGCTGGTCGCGCTCGCTGCTCAGCTGCCCCTGCCCCCTGGCCCCCGCCCACTTTCCAGCAACAGCCCTTCCCCATCCATGCAGGTGCCAGCTGCGGGCGCCCAGCGGGATGCGGGGCTCAAAGCAGCGCGTGCCAAGGTGATGATGGCGCCGCAGGTGCGGACACACATCCGGGCGCTGCGCTGCGAGAACGCCGGCGGCGGCCAGGAGAGCGGGCCGGGAGTGCAGTCATCGGCGGCGGGCTCAAGCATCCTGCCCCCTCACGAGCAGCGGCGCGTGGTGGCAGAGGGGCACGGCCAGTGCTCGCGCAGGGGGCGTCGCCCAGGCGCCGCTCGTGAACGCCGGCGTGCAGCAGCACTCGCGCGGCAGCAGCCTGGCTCTGCTGCGCTTCGCTCAGTTGTCCGTCATCGTGCTGGGCCGGCGGCCGATGCCCTCAGTGCAGCTCTCCTTCTCCGTGCCACTGGCCGGCCAAGTGGCGGCGACGGCAAGCAGACCAAGTCCCTGTCCTTCATGCGCCAGCGCGACGCCTTCGACCTGTGTTTCGCCGGCGCCTTCCCCGCCGCCCTCATCGCCGCGCGCCTGCAGGCCAGTGGGGCCCTGCCTATCCTAGAGCTGGCGCGCGACAGCAGCGACGGCGTGCGCCGCGCCCACGTGCTTTTCAGGGATCCCGCCGGGACGCTGGCGGCATAATCGAGCTGGAGCAGCAGATGCGCAAGCGGCCACGCCAAGCTCACTCCACCCCAGCGCCGCCACCACTGGGATCCAGCCTGCTGTCACTCGGCAATCGCCTGCTGCTCCGGCCTTGTCAGCTTTGCCACTCTATTTGTACTCGAACCCTTAGTTGCTCGTATACCAAACGATGTTTATGACAGTCATTGTTTACCGTACTGTACCTGAGCTGCGCTTGGAGATCTGTCCAATACTGCGCCATAAATCCCAAGCTCCTGCCTCAGCATTCACGTTGTGACAAGACATACGCAAGGCAGTGGCGGTACGTATCCGTTATCAACCGACAGGCCTCTGGCCGCCTGAGGCTTTGGTGGAACGGTGCAATGGTGCTGGGGCGCTCGCAAGTGCTTGCAGCCGGGCGCTTTGTCGGCGAGCGCACATGTGCTTGAGTGGCTCGCTCCGGCACGCATGCAATCATGCTGATGCTACAAATTGAGCGCGCCTGCTTGAGCACCTGTGCGCCCCCATGACGCCCCCCTCCCACGAACGCAGCCATGGCCCGACTCCCGGCCCTGGCCGGCATCGCAAACGCTGCGCTGAAGACGGCGGCGGGCGAAGAGATCCGCGCGGCGACGCTATGGGCGTCCAGTCCCGTCCTCATATTTGCCTTGCGGCGCCCGGGCTGCGTCCTCTGCAGGGACACCGCGAAAAAGGTGGGGCGGTGGGGGGGCGACGCGGCGCTGCACGCCGCAGCAGCCGATGGCGCCAAGGTCCTGGCCCGCAGAGGCGCCGGGCAGCATATAGAAAGCAAAGGCTGCGCGCTCTGGGAGGCTGCAGCGAATGCGGCGTGGCAGGAAGAGCGCGCGGGCGTGCGCGCGGCGCCCCCCTCGCGGCGCGGGTGCGCACGCCAAACAGGGCACCCCTGCATGCGCGCATGCGCTGCCAGGTCTGGGGCGCCCATGCGGAGTTTGAGGCCGCAGGCGTGAAGCTGGTGTGTGTGGCTCACGAGTGGATTGACAGGGAGGTGAGGGTTGGCGGAGGGAGGGGCGGCGGCCACCCAGCCCCCAGACCTGGGTCTCCCTTTTGCTTCGGCGGCGCGGCAGGGCAGCCTGGGGTTGCAAGTGGGGGACTGCCAGGGGGCTGCGGGGGCACGAAAATTTTTCCTCGCGGCCACAGGCTTGAAGGCGCGCCGCAGCCGCTCAAACCCTGCAGCAGCGGCTCGCGGCGCCCTCGCACCGCGGCGCCTCCGCCGCCTGCATGCCACCTGCATGCCGCCTGCTGGCAACAGGGCGCTCGCACGGCCCGATCGCGAGGCGCAGCCCCATCATGCCGGCGCGCCCACGCACCTTCCTCCGCAGATTAAAGCTTTCCACACACCCGAATTCTGGCCTGGAGAAATCTATTGGGACGTGGACAAGGCGTTTTACAAGGCAGGCAGGGGGCGGGGGGGGGGCTGGATGGGTTGGGTTGGGGCTCGCTAGTAAGGGTGTGGCATGGGTTGGGGCTCACAGCAGTGCTTGGTGCGGCGGGCGACCCGCTGCGACGCAGCAGCGGGAGCCACAGCTCGGCCTGATCAGGGGGGAGAGCCCTCGGCAGCGTGGGGTGCCCGTGACCCCAGCCCAGGCCACAGGCAAGTACGCGACGCACACCGCGGATGCGAGTGCACACTTCAAAGCACATGTGCAGTGTGCGCATGTCAACCACGGGCCCTCACACGCGTCATTGCCAAGTGCAGGTGTTCTCAGAGGACGGCAGCGGCGTCCGCAGACAGAGCGCCCTCTCTCTGTAAGAGCCCAGTGGTGGCGCCGCCGCCACGCGCGCGACGAAGCACGGGCGCATGCTGTGGCCGGGCGCCCAAACAGCTGCCCCCACTGCACTCGCCTGGCGCCATCCCTGGGTGGCCGGCCGTGTTGCGGCTGCGATACAGCTTGTGCTGTCTAATTACAGGCCCGCCGCGCCGCCGACGCAAACCAACCTCCCCCCCCCCTTGCGCGCTTGCGCCTGCCCGGCCGCGTCAGGCTCAACCCCTGGAATGCTGCATGGTCGCGCATCAAGGCGGCCGGCCAGCGGGTGCAGGAGTCAAACCTTGTGGGGGATGGCACCATCCTGGGCGGCCTCTTGTTGGTCAAGGCGGGAGAGGGTGGCGTCGCCTACGTGCATGCAGGCGCGTTGTTTGTGATCTGAGTACGCCTGTGGGCGTCACAGTGTGTGCCTGTGCGTGAGTGCGTACATGTATGTGTGTTTGTGCATGCGCGCGCGCCTGCGTGTGTGTGTGTGTATGTGTGTGTGTGTGTGTGTGTGTGTGTGTGTGTGTGTGCGTGTGCACGTTGCGTACAAGCGCACCTGCGTGTATATGTACGCGCATATGATCACAGATTTGCGGGACACATTGTGCCTGATTGGGGCCCAGGCACACCGGGCCTGTGTGCACTCGCCCAGCCCCTCCCCCTACCCCTTCCCTGCCCGCTAAATGTCCGCTGTTGCCACGCTGCCGTTTCTGGGTCCATGCACAGAGAAGTCATTTGGGGAGTTCCCAGAGCCCGAGGAGGTTGTGCAGGTGGTGAAGGCCGCGCTGGGTCAATGACCGCTGACGTGATGGCTTGCAAATGGGGACAGGAGCGTGAACATACATATGTGCAAAGTGCTGTGGGGCAATTGTATAGGGTACTGCATTGGTGAGCTGCTGCCCCGTGCTGCTTGCTGCGCTGTAATATGGCCGAGTTGCAGAGAATATCACTGGCCTGTCTGCCCCACCCTTCATGCGTCATCAGCAAGAACGTGCAGCCACTGCCCAATGAAAAGCTACGATCTAAGTACAGACTTTACAGGCCACAGTGCATTAGGAGCCTGCGGTTGGTGTGCAGTTCTGCTCGCATACAGCCATGCATACAGCCGGCGCCGGGCGCTTTATTGCAACAGAGCGGGACAATTTATTCAGGATCATGGACACACATAGCAAGGCAACACATGGCTGCAACTCCTGCTGTTGAAGCTGGCTGCGATACGTCTCGCAGGCCGCAAATTGGGACTGGCCTGAGCAGTGGAAGGGGAGCAGCCCGCTGGCAAAAGGCCGCCACGTCCGAAACTGCCAACGGTCATTGCAGGTGGCACTTGCGCACGGGGGGCACCGCGAAATTGGTAGCGCGCACAGCGACGCGCAGTTCCACATTATCAGCGGGGATGCTCAGGGGCACAAATCAGAGGGTGCAAAAGTGCCAGGGTGTGCAAGCGCCGTTGCGGTGCAAAACCAACCACCGGTTTCGCGCGTGCAGATTGTCGGTGCACCAACACCTGGACCATGCACTTGCTAACCGCGGGTACTACCCACCGCCGAAGTTTCAGCAGTGATGGGACCGTCTGGGCGTTGAGACAGAGGGGCCAAAGACGCATTAACGGCAGGCGTGCTGCATACACCAGACACTACAGTTGCGGATTAGAGTAACATGAGAGTAAGATGAGTAGTTGTTTGGGGGTGTGCGTGCTTTGCGGGTATCGCCCAGAGCGGCGCCACGGCAGGAGCCAGCGCCCAAAGGCATCAAAGTCTGGCGGATCAGCTCATGGCCCAGATCAGATCAGATTGTCTGCGCGTTTTCGGGCAGCTTGCAGACGTTAGTACCGAGGCCGGCGCCGGCGTCGGCGACACACTGAAGCTGGAGCCCCTTCTTGCCGCCAAGGCTGCGGCACGGGTTGCCCGTCGGGCAGCACGGCTTGCCGCGCCCGCCGCAGCGCAGGCAGACGCCCGACTGACAGTAGCTCCCGCCGCGGCACTTGGTGGCGCCGGCCTTGCCGCAGCCGACGCCGCGCATCTGGCGGCCGGCCTCGTCGTCCTTTCGCAGCTTCTCAGCGCGGATGCGCCCCGGCGCGTCCTTGGCGGGCCCCTTGGGGTTGGGGTCAACGTTGGCGGTCGCAGGGACGACGGGCGGCGGCGCGTTGACGCAGGTTTTAAAGAGGCGGCCGGGTACATCCACGGCGAGCAGGCTGCTGTCAGAGCAGGAGCCTGGGTGAGCGCGCAGGGGCAGGGTGGACGGGAGGGGGCGGGTGCGCGTCAGCGGCCACGCGGGCTGGGGCACGCCCAGCGAGTTTTGGGGCAGCAATCGGCTGATGTATGTCGGCGGACGCCACTGTTGGCTGGTGCTGAGAATCCTGTGGCCCCCGCGAGGCATGGGAGGTGCTCAGTGCACACGACACCCGGCTGCTGCGAACTCACCATCGCCGCAGGCGGGCATGCCGTCATCACCGCACGGCCAGCACTTCAGGCTCTGAGGGCCTTCTACCGATGCACAGACTAGCTGGGCCGAGTTGCATTTCGTCGCGGCGTTGACGCAACAGCGAGAATACGGCTCCCCGCAGCCTGGCGGGTCTCTCTTCGTTTTTATTTGGCTCATGAGCGCGGTGGTGGGATCGGCCAAGGCGAGCTGTGCCGTGAGGATGGCACAGAGGCCGGCCAGGAGGGCGGAGGCGCGAGCCATTGCAGCTGGCGGGGCTTCGTGGTGAGATCGAGCGGTTGCAAGGAGTGTCTGTGATATGGAACAGCCCAATATGCAAGGATTTATTCGTGACCGGATTATGAGTTCTGTTTGGGCTTGCCCTTTCGGGAATTCCTGAAGGGCTCGAGTGAGAAGTGAATTCTGTGGACAGCGAGGGGTCTGTCCGGACAGCTTTAATAAAGATGTACATCCAATACTGAAGGTCATTACCTTGTTATGCTCTGTGACCGCTGTCCAGCCCCGCCCGAAAGGTGTAATTAAGAGATCGCCGCTCGGAACCAGCTCGAAACCCACCTCGAGTCCCTGACGAACCTAAAATGAGGTTCTTACACGTGCTTGCATGCTTGGCGGTGCTAGTTATGGCCGGTGGTGCGCAGGCGCAGCAGCGCCAGGTGACAGGTACCAAAGTCATGATCATCACCGACGACGCTTCGGCCGGGACGAGCCAGCCGTGAGTAGTCCATGATCGCAAAGGGCAAGCAGGGCTTGGGCGCCTGAGGAACTCCTGAGGAAGGCGCCTGAGCTGCACAAAGGCGGTTACGCCCAAGCGCGCTCGCCTCCACGTGCAGCCGTGCACGCACCATGCACGCCCAGCGCCGCCCGCTAGCGGGGCGCTCCTCGACGCCGCCGCGAGCGCCTCACAAACCTCCCCCGCCCCCGTCCCCTCCTCGCAGGTGGCAGAGCATTCAGTTCCTGGCGGACGCCCTCACGGCGGTCAACAAGTCGTACGACGTGTTCACCGTCAACGCCTCTTCGCGCCCAGACTCGACCTGGTTCTGGAACGCGGACGGCACCGGCAAATACGTCGGCTACATCATGTGCGCCCTTGGGGTCCCCAGAGGGGCCACGGGCAACAGAGGCCGCCTGCTCGAAGACTGGGCGGCTGCCTGTCCTCCCCGCTGTTCGCCCCCACAAGTCCGGTGTGCTCTGTTGCCCGCCCCAGCCCATACCCTGCCCCACCTGCCGCCGGCGCTCCCCCTCCGAAACCGCAGGTATCCGCCGCTGGAGAGCCGCGGCGCGCTTACCCCGTCCGAGATTAGCCTGATCTGGGACTACGCCGCCAAGACCGCCGTCAGGAGCATCAAGTACGGCTGCGGCATGACGACCCTGGGCTTCACCGAGACCTCCGCCCCGGGCGGCCCGCTCAACACGCAGCTGTCCTGGAAGCCGGACGCGCCCTTCGGAACGTCGGGGGTGTCGCCCAGCGCCTCCTTCAGCGACGGCGGCGTCTGGCTG